GAGTCTGACACACACATACACACATCGGATCCACATGTGACATTTACTAAATGGTTCTTCTGGGCAGGCAGACCATTTCTAACCTGATGAGGTTCCTCATCTCCTTCTCAGCCCAGGTTCTGACCATCTTCCTGGGGTTCCCTCTGCAGTAACCATGACGGAATCTGAAAGGTTTCAGGCCGATGGTTGATGACCAACATCTCTAGATACTTCTTTATGAAGTGATTCTTCTTCTGTGGTGGGACCCACCTGAACTCTCCACTGACATACTTGTCCCGGTCTCTGAAGTGCAGGATGGAGGTCTTGTAGATCTTGATGGCTTTGCTATCTCCTGCCTGGGAGCTAGCATGGTAAACATTGGCCTGAAACACAGACAAATAGTTGACTTCCTGTTTCCTGTTGTCAAAACAGTGCTGTGTCAATCAGCGTACAAACCTCTTTCCCAGTACTGATGCAGCCGTTGATCTCACTGATGACGCCTCGACTCAGCAACTTGAACAGGATCATCCGAGTGCGAGGATCAAGGACCTGCAGCGTGGACCTCGATCAGTCGTCACAGTTACATGACAATCAATAATCAATAAGCTACTGTCAATCACCTGCTCCACTGTGGCTCGATCTGATTTGTCCTTCACTCTGTACCTGCGGAGAGCAGGCAAGGACAGTATTGGTGACATCACTGAAGTGACATCACTGACACCAGCCAATGACAGTTTCTATGACTTCTTCTCCTTAAAGTCAGTGTAGATTGATTAGAACTATTATTCTGAACAGTCAGAGGAGCTGAAGAACAAAAATGATCTGATGCGTTTGCTTTGGTCTGTTCTCCTCATCAGAACCATACTGATCACAGCTCATCAATATCTCTGAATGGAACAGGGAAAACTTGGCGATTAGTTTAGGGATTAGTGGGAGGGAGTGAGATGAGGACCAGGCCTAAAGGTGGTGACATCACAGTCAGCTGACATACGTGTCTGCGTCCTTCTGTTTCTCCATGTTTGTGACTTTATTGATGACCACGTGAGCAAAGTCCAGTTTCTCTGTAACAAACCATGAGTAGAAAAAAACAGGAAAACGTTGCAAAGTCCAGTTTCTCTGTAACAAACCGTGAGCAGAAAAAACAGGAAAACGTGAAAAAAGTGAAGAAGAAGTCGTATTGATCAGAGTCAGTGATATTGATCAGAAGAGGGAGTGTCCTCACCCAGGTTGATCTTGTTTTCATACTTTCTGAGAACTTTGTCTGAGGGCGTGGATGACATCATACCTGAGATCTTTTTGGTGGAGTTCTGTCTGTTTGACTGAGAAAGAATGAGAACAGGAGGTGATCAATATATCTGATCAGACTCAGATTTCATCATTCAGATGTTCAATGACCTGACCTGACAGTTGGCTGTGTTATGTATTTTTGTTAGATTTCCTCTTGGTGAAGACCATGCCCACTCATCATCATCATCATCATCATCATCATCATCTTCCTGTTCTTCTTCTTCTTCCTCTTCCTCACTTTCCACATCCTGTTTCAGAGTGACATCACTGATCTGACTCATCAGTGCCACCTCCTCTGATTGGCTTCTACAAGTGATGTCAGACAGAATTCTCAGCCAACCAAACAAGTGCATTAACCCCCCGCCCCCCTCTCTATATATATATACTGTATACACACAAACATAAATACATACATATACACATAAATATTATATACATGCATGTAAATAACAACATTATTTAATTGTTGGAAGGTTTTTCTGAAACCAGGACAAGGTCAGGAAAAACTGGACCAGATTAGACTAGACTACACTACAGTGATCGCCATGTCATGTTATTTTATCGACTGAAACTGAAATAACAGTGACGTCACTTTTATTTGGCTGCGGTTTCATCAACAACAACATCTTTGACCCAGTCTAAGACTGAACTTAGTCCGACATAAGAGACACATCTAACAGGGACACGGTCTGTTCTTGTAGCTCTGGACCAGAGATACCAGGTCTGGTTCTGGTCCTGTAGGATTTATAGGTACCAGGTCTGGACATTAACCTGGGAGGACTGGCAGGAATCTTATCCTGTAGCCGTGAACATGCAGTTACTAGGTCTGGTTCTAGTACGAAGGACTTAGTGGTACCATGTCTGAATGTGGACCTGAGTCAATTGATCTTGTTTTGTAAATAAAAAGCGCCACGTGCGCGTTTCTAAACTATTTCATTATAGAAACGTCTCCGCTCACCTGTCAATCACTTCCACTTCTTCAGCGTCATCAAACTGTCCGGTCACCACCTGCGTCAGAGACATGACTTCACAAGTCTTTAGAGACGTCTGTGAGTCCGGACAGAATCGGACCTTAATGGACCTTGGCTACGGCGTGTTTAGCTCCACACTTCCGCCTATTACCATGTGACTAGAGCAAGAACAGAGGGACAATACACAACAACCACGCTCACGTCACACACGTGACCAAACTCGCGTAAGAGGCTTAAAGTCATGATTAAAATACGTACGGTTAACTAATGACGTAGTTTGACTTAAAAAATGTACTTCATGCATATATTCGCTGCTGAGAGTGAAGCTTTTATTTGATTAGGTCCTTAGCAAGTGTCTGTTAGCCGTTAGCTCGGTTAAACTGGTGTTCGAACATGTCTGTGGACGTGTGTGAGGCCCCGCACTGTCAGCTCGTGTGTGAAAACTCCAGTTTCTTGGATGAAGAAAACAGTCTCGTATCACTGGTTCAACAGCTTCACTTTAACTACAAGGTAAATGTGTGGAAATGCAACACAAACGGCAACTCTAGCTACTGAGTTAGCAGCGCCTGGTTTTCAAAATAAAAGTTCTGTATATTTAAGAATTTTTTATTAAGCTTAGCGTCTTGTTGTTGAAAACTGACAAAGTGATGTGAGAAATATTGGTGCGAAGTTGATTTTTTTTGATACACTTCCATTTTAATAACAATTAACCTTTGTATTTTTTCCAGCCACCATCTAACAGATGTAGAAATACTTAATTGCCGACCTTTGGTCTTAGGGTGTTTGGGCATAGGTCAAAAGGTCGAAGAGTGCAACAGATAAAAGCTACAACTGCTGTTGTGACAGGAGTTAACATCCAGGAAAATATACAGCCCACAAAGTCGTACATATTGTTGGGAAGTGTCTTGACTTCCTGTCTTACCTTTACAGGTGTCACTGCTGATTCCTGATTGTAGCTCCGCCCCTTCTCACCTGGATTCTGTAATCAACTCCTTCAGCTCATTTGTACTCATCAAAAACATGCCTGTGTCTGAGTTTATAGACAAAGACTTTTTGGAAACAGCTGTATATCCTGGTACGCACGCACGCACACACACACACACATTTATTTAAACAGCATTAATTTCCATTTTTTCTTCTGCTCTCTAACAGGAAGTGTGTGCGCTCTCTCGTACAGGACCAGGATTGGTGAAGACAACTGTGTGGCTCTGATGCCAAATGGTAAAACCTGACTTTACTGACATCCTTGATTCTCATGTTTCATCTTTGATTCTTACTCTTATGTCTGTGCAGGGCGACTCCGTCTGTCTCTGGATAGACACTCGTACCACCTTCTGGGCATTGAGGGAAAAGTGTCCAAATTCAGGTCAAAGGGCAGACACAGTGAGGTTACCCACAGAAGCAAATGACTCAGCATTTTGACAGATGTTTTTCTGTCCTCAGTTGTCTGTCCTTTTGTCTGTTCTCAGTTGTCTGTCCTTTTGTCTGTCCTCAGTCGTGTCGGTGGATTTGACAGACAGCAGCATGGCCCCTGGTGGGCGGGGCTATGACAGACTCCTCAGTGGTCTGACGTGTCGACTTCCTCTCACTTCTGACTTTCTGCTGTCACATCAACAAGGTGACAGTGACGTTGTCATTCAGTTGAAAGCTCTGTGCACTAGTTAGCTACACATAAGCCTTTGCCGTATGTCCTCAGGGGTCCAATCCTGTCTCAAGTCCCTTCTTTCTCGGTACGATTGGTCAGAGCTCAGACCTGAGGTCAGCACCAAGGTTCTGCATCAGCTGACCTGTCCATCTGACCTCGGGTCATGTGATGCTTACAGTGTGATGGACTGGCTGGGAGCTGTAGACGCTGGCATCAGGTGACCAAATAAAAAAAAAAAAAAAAAAAAACAACACTCAAGATATGAGTTGGATAAAACCTGAACAGAACCCTGTGGTTCCAGCAGCAGCAGCATTGGCTCCTCTTCCAGCTTCTTGTCCACCTACACCTGTCCTGGACCCCAGAGGATGGCGACGACAGCCCTCAGCATCTCGGTTAGCGGCTTCCTGCTGCCCCACCACGTCCAAATCCTCATCATGGAAGTCAGGTGACCTTTATGATCTCACTGATCCCAGTTTCCTCTTTGACCCTTCAAAAGGTCATGAGATTTTATCATTTATTTTTCTGTTATTTAAATGTGACATCACTTCCTCCTGAATCCTGTAGGCAGTTCCTAGAGCAGTCTTCCTCGCCCTGGGCTTCGTTGACGGTCCATGGTTTCACAGACAACGTAGTCTCGTGCTGTGAAAACGAACATGGACGTCTACGAGGAGGAGTGAACTTCTACACGCTGCTGATGTCTAAAGGCCATGACTACAAGCTACTGATTGTTACAGGGTCACATGACTCCTGCTCCCCATGATTTTGTTTTGTTTCAGTTTCTGGAAGATTTTTACTTTGAGTGATGAATTAAAAAAGGATCAAAGGTCAACAATTGTCATATGTGATTATTATGATCTGCATGTCAATCTCTCTGATTACATGATTGACAGGCCAAACCTGCACCCT